GTGGGCTTTAAAAACTCTGCTTTGTTTGGGGTGTTTCGGCCTCTACCTCCCTTCCACCACCCCCCAACCTTAAGAAAGAGAAAAGGTAAGAGGGTAGAGGGAGCCCAGAGCCCTTTACTTCTGGCTAGTTAGGGTCAAGGGGTTCTGTTAGGGCTCTATACCAATCTCCGTCAACTGCAGACACAGCTAGCAGGCTCCTCCACGGCTACACCCCAATGCATTTCTCTTCACCTGTCTTGCTCCAAACCACCACACCATCTCTAATCTCTGCTCTCTCCAAACTGTGCCACGCCACACGCAAACACTGAACACCTTATGGTCTCTGTCAGCATCATATTTACACTCTCAGCGTTTTAGACCACACCCCTTTTCGTGCCTCACATGGAAGGCCGTTATCAGCTGACAAAAGCCACGCTCCACACGAGACAATTAACAGGTATGAGCAAACTATAGCCCAACTAAAATCCCACACCCCTGGGATTAAATCATAAAATAGCAGTGGGCCGAGACCCCCCAAAAGACCATCAGAAAACAGAGTTTTACGTTATGATTCATAACAGAAGCAAAATTACAGTTTTAGGAAGTAGCAAGGAAAGTAACTTTATGGTTGGGGTCACCACACCATGAGGAACCATATTAAGGGATCACAGCTTTAGGAAGGTTGAGAGCCACCATCACAGAAGAAGGAAGCACTTGCTCTTTGCCTGCTTGCCCTGGCTCTTACTGGCAAGTTCATTTCCTCACTGCCGTTAAAGCCTACTTCTTCAGGATTCCAGTGTATACTGAAGATCAACTAAGACACTCAGCCTCATGGACTGAACAACTATTGAATTCTTGGACCTTCCACTGGGCAAGAGCGATTACTGAAATAGTCATACCATAACTTATAAGCCACTCTAATAAATCCATACACACATATACATACATACACATTCATATTCATTCTATCAGTTCTGTTCCTCAGAAGAATGCTGACTACAGGAAGCTTCTATTCAAAGACCTTGAGTGTTAGCTGTCCTTCCCCATACTTCCTCCTTTAACCCGCCCTCCCATCCTCTTCCTCCATTTAATCCTAGTCTAGTTTCTCCTTTATCTTTTTATAACACTATCCTCTATTTCCCTTACCTTGGAAGATCTCTTGACCCTGACCCCCTCCTGCTCTCTTACTAGGTACCTAACCTCTGTGGCTAATTGAACTGAAACACATTTAAGCTTAAAAGCTAACATCCATCCATCCATCCATACATACATACATACATACGTGTAGGAGTAGTAATTGTGAAGCTGACAACAGTCAGGTCACAGAAGAGAGAAGGTGATGGACTGAGGCCATGGTAAGAAGACCTGATGGGGACTGGGATTTTAAGCTAAAGAAAGGAAGGCAAGGATTTAAGAACATGACTAATAGAAAACAAACAAGGAGGTAATTAAGCACAAAAAAGGTTTGGAGAGAAGTCAACCATTGAGAGGGGATTAGTGAGCATCATGCAAGCCTTGGACTGAGGCCGAATAGTTAACCCGTGTCAAGGTGCAAGATCTCTGATATGAAAGATTCCCTCTCCCCACCCCAATGCTTTTCACCATATTTAAAGGGGTGTTTTAGTCAAGACTCTCTAGAGAAACAGAAATGATAGAATACATATCTACTGAGGGAAGGTGCATGATCTCCCACTCCCCAGCTGGGGATCTACTGACACTTGGTTGCTGCTGGGAAAGGGAAGGTCGGTTTTCTTTAATGGTGTGACACCTGGTATCTTGACCACGTCCCAGGGCAGGCCCCAAGCCCAGGAACAGTCAGCCCACAGGAACTGGACTTGATGGTTTCAGCACTATAGCTGATGAATTTTAATTGTTGGGGTCTAGAAATGATCTGCATGGAATAACATATAAAATAAAGAAAAATACATCTGAACAACACCATAAAAGATGATTAGAGCTTTGCAGTCCAGAAAGGGGCTCTGGGATATTCGAAAAGAAAGAGTGAAAGGGCAGATAAAAACATTCTGGCCACTTGTAGCTTCTCTCTGCTGCTCATCACCTCTGCTACTTCAGGACAAAGAACAAAACGCTTTCCTCTCCCACCTCCCACTACCGAGAGATGGTTCTGTCTTTCTCTTCCAGTTGAGAACTGCCTCAGCCCTTCGCACTGCTAACAACTCCCAAGCACCCTCACTTCTCTTGCTGCTCCTGTCCACTCCTGGTCAGTGGTCAAAGGGGATTTGTTCTTCACCTCTGACCCACGGTGCAGTGACAATGGGACTGGCTCAGTAAAATAAGGATTTGCTTTCTGGTCTTATCCTTCCTTTGTTTTAGAACTTAATCGCTATTCTTTCTTAAAATGCCCTGTGATATTCAAGAAACAAAGGACGCGTAGCCTCAGAAACAAGATTTCTTGTGTCTACTGAGGAAACTATTGAACTGACAAGATTCTAAGAATTTTTTATCAGGGAATTTATTATAGTGATGAGAATCCAGGACCCTAAACATGCTGGCCTCTCAATAAATCTTTCCTTCATATATGAGAATTTTATAAGGCTTCTGATGTGAATTAGGAGGATGAGCAATTAATGTCCTCAATGAGACACAGGAGGCACTTTCAAAGAAGTCCTCACACATGCCAGCACCATCTGTCCTTCAAGGCAGTGGTTCTCAACCTTCCCAATACTGTGATCCTTTAACACAGTTCTTCATGTGGTGGTGATCCCCAACCATAAAATTATTTTCACTACTACTTCATAACTGTAATTTTGCTACATTTGTAAACTGTAATGTAAATATCTGTTTTCTGATGGCCTTAGGCAACCACCAACCACTGTGAAGAGGTCTTTGACTCTCAAAGGAGCCACAACCCACAGGTTGAGAACTTCTGCTTTAGAGGCAGGTAGTTTGGCATCTTGACACTGTAGTGCGTAACCAGAGAAGCGCAGGAGCCCCTGCCCCTGGCTGATGCTCCTGTTCCCTGGCAGTGCAGTTGACTGAGTGGTTCCCTCTTCTACAGAATAAATAGCCACATCTGTCCATAACTTGCCTCTAGCATCCAATTTGTCCTTGCCAATTAACCATCTATACCGATTTCAAAAGTAGAGGGAACCACTCATATGTAACACAGATCCAAGACTTTTCAGAGACAGTGAATGTTCTCTACACAATTCTATGAACCAGTGGGCAATTTTGTGGATCTCAGCTCATCTCTTCTTTTCCTTTACAACAAACCCTTTCAGTTCACTAAGCAGTCCAATTGTTTCTCCCATCTTTTAAAAATAACTGATGCTAGAGATGGTTTGGGAGTCAATAGTCCTTGCTGCTCTTGTGGATGGCCCAGGATCAGCTGCCAGCATGCACATGGCAGCTCACAACCTCCTATAAGGAATCTGATGCTTTCTTCTGGAATATGCAAACATCAGGTACATGTGTGACATACATACATACATGTAAGCAAAATACTCACACATGTAAGATAAAAAAATAACATGTTTAAATACACAATGAATTGTTCTATACACATTCTTTTAAAAATAGCACTCCTTAAAATGATCAGTATATAGTCTCTGCTTTTCCAAGGAGCAGTTACCAAATAAAATTTTAAAATCCTATCAAGTAATGGGCAGTAGAGAAGTCCCAGAAATACTGTTGATAAGCTTATTTATGTTTGGTAATGCTATTAATATTTCCTCAAGGCCATTCAACAACCACTTTGAGATTAGGAAGCATTGAAACTCTAACATTCCTAAGGGCTGAGGGAAGACTGCAGGCAGAGGCTTATATTCTATTATGCACACATTTTAAGTCAAGCTATTAAATAAAATGTGACCTTATAGTCTGATACTGACAAACACACCTTCAACTACCTGGCAGGACAGGTCCTTAAGTTCTGTGATATTCTGTCCATAGAATGGTGGCATAAACGGTCCGTTGCCCCTTCTCTTCCCATCCCCAGTTCTCTCAACGTCTCCGCTCACCTTCCTCCCCATCTCCCCTATTTTCTCCTCCCCCTCTTCCTCATCCCCTTCTCTACCAGATCTTGCTATGTTGCCCATGCACTTGATCATAGTATCTTGCAGGCTTTGCCTGAAGCACCACCCCTGCCTGGTACCTGGGGTTACAGGTTCATAGCATTTCCGTTCATAAATGCCGAAGCAGAGCTCCTCCTGCCCAGGACTGAAGTCAACACTGCACATTTTTTTTTTTTTTGAAGACAGGGTTTCTCTGTGTAGCCCTTCCTGTCCTGCAACACACTCTGTAAACATGGCTGGCCTCAAACTCAGAGATCTGCTGGCCTCTGCCTCCCCAAATCTGGCACTAAAGGTGTGGGCCGCCACACCCAGCATGGATAATTTACTCAACAGAGAAACTGCCAGATCACACTTGGTAACAGTCAATACGCTAAATAAAAGTCAGTCCGAAAATAAAGAAGACAGATAAAACCTAAACTTCCAGCCCCTGAGCACTGCAGTTTTAGTTTTCTCAAGACCTACAATAAACGGGTCTAATATTTATCTGGATCGAGATCAAAAATCTCGATCTGTATTTTCTTAACAAACTCCAGTCATGTTAAGGGAGACTTGAGACGACAGGAGCCGAGAGAACATAAAATTTCCAAACACAAGATCAGGTACACGGACGGAAGAGAAAGCATTTCCCTTATGCATCTGTGGCTAACGCTCGGAGACGCATCTGATCCGAGGAGTTCAGTGTCACAGCACAGCAAGGTGCGCGCTCAGCTCCCTCTCACTGCACATGTGCACAGCTACAGTGTTTGTCCGCTGACGTCCACGGCTAGCAACCACCAAAGCAGCAGAGCGCGCTGAGCCTCGGCACGGAAGTAAAGACAGCTTCTCCCTACACAGAACCTCTCCCTCACCAAAACGTCTGTGCTCCGTGCGCTCTTAGCCGGACAAGGACTTTTACTTGAAAAACTATTAGATAACTTGTTATCACAGTAATAACACTCCACAGGACGGCAAGTATTTCAACTGGAAATCTTACTTATGGGTACTTACTGAGATTGTACCATTGTCTAGACCTATGGACAGTCTTCTTGTTTCCGGGTTAAAAGACATGCATGAACATGGAGCTGAAAGAAATGAACATGTTGATGAAATTAACAAAACAATGATTCTCATTGATTCAGAGGTGTCTAATGAGCTAAGTGTCTGTTCACCCCACTGTACCCTGAAACCGCTCACTTAACGCGCACTCGCCAACAAAGTAAAAACAGCAATTTTGTAACCAAACCCCTAGCTTTTATGTTGCTCTTTTAATGATGTACAGGTAAGATATTCTCAAACGTGGCAAGTCCCAAAGGCTGTACTATTGGCTTGTGCTGGCATTGCTGGATATAAACTTGCGTGTCTACAAGACTGACTCTACTACTCTCTGCATTATTGCCTTGAGAAGGGTCTCTCACAAGACTGACCCTACTTTGTGCCATGTAAACCTTTGATCATCACTCTCTTAATCCCACTCAGGCCACAACTTACACAGGAGCAAACTGCGTTCTGAGCTCCAGAAAAACTAGATTTTTACCTTCCGTTGATAAACTTCCAAATACACACACTGGTGCAGAACAGGGTATTGGTTCAGAACTTACATGGGGCAAATGAACTACCAGGGCTTTTACTCTGGGTGTCCAAGAGGTTCCTAGTTGAAAATAATTGTGGGGTCATTTTCTTTGTATGAAGTTAAAAAGAGACCTCAGCTTAAATTTAAAAAAAGAATGAAACAAACAAAAAACCATACAGGTCGGATAAGTATCCAGTGGTTTTATTTGTAAGCGATGTTGTAGATTTAATTAGAAAAGATGCACCATGCTGAAGAAAGAAGAAGCCCTTATTCAGCATTACTGATGTCTTAGAAAGAGCAGAATTGGGACACGGTCGGGCACACAGCAAGAACAGCATGTGAGGGTGCAGTCAGAGCTAAGGGTGAGGCCAGGCAGCCCCCAGAAGCCAGAGAACAGCAAAGCTCAGCCTCCCTCACAGCCCTCAGAAGGAGCCAAAGTTGTGTAGATCCCTCTGAGAGCTCAGCCCCAGAATTGTGAGTCCTGCTGTTGAAGTGACTCACTTTGCAGTATTTGTTATAATGGCTCCAGAAAACTAACAGAGGAGTTATATTGGTGGAATTGAAAATAAAACACATTCTTTCAACGTCTCTCACTCTCTGCATACTGTCCACTTGTAGGTCTCTGAATAACTGCTGTCTACTGCAAGAAGCTTCTCTGATGGAGGCTGACACGCACCGATCTATGTCTACAGCAACGTGTCATTTTGCTGTTTCCTTTAGCAGAAAGATGTTAGGTTTTCCCACTCCCTTATAAAAAACAGAACTGCCAAATTCATCCTTTTAGTTCATCTTATCAGAGTGTGTGTGTTGTGTGTGTGTGTGTGTGTGTGTGTGTTACATGAATGTACAGGTAGATATGCTCATGAACACACACCCAGAGGCCATTTAAAACGTCCAGTTGTCCTCATCCTCCACTACTCTCTGCATTATTGCCTTGACAAGGGTCTCTCACAAAACTGGAAGACTGTGACTGAACAGTCAGTTCAGTGGTTTCTTTACCCCACCTCTTGCATAAAAAGAGGGCACACAGTTCCAACAACTTGTCAAACCACCTTGCAAGATGAGAGTGAAAATACACAGATAGTGATCAGACGAGAGTGGGAGTGAGCACACCCTGAGCAGGACTGCTGGGACATGTGCACATCCTTGGCCCTCTAGTTAAACTTTGATCTTACTGCAGTAGCCTAAAGATGGAGGCCAGGGCTTTGCTGGGTCTCTTTGTCCCCACTTCTCAATGGGACCACATCAATCTTTTCCTGCTTCCCACTTCTGACTCTTTTAATTGGCTTGTTGAAGAAGGGTAGCCAGGCATGGTTTGGACAGGTGGTGACCTCTAAGTTAACTCTTAGAATGCAGGATGGGGCACAATGAAATTACCCTCTCCTGCCCACCCCCAGACACCTACAGCGAGAACCTGAAGTCTGCATGACAAACTTAACCTTTTGAACCTCTGTGTTAGTAAGCCATTCCTTCATCTGGAAAGAAAGAGAACTTTCTACCCTTTTTCCTGAGTCCACCTAATTTCATGTAATTGTGTCTGTCACATGTGTCTGTGATAATTGTTCTTGTATGGTTTTTTTGTTGCTTTCATGTTATTTGTGCCAGAAAGATTTTTTTTTTAAACAAAGTGGCCACTTCAGTTCCCTTTTCTTTCATGTCTGTTGTGTACTAAAAGTATTATTATTAGCTTTTTGGCATGTCCAATTAAAGTGCATGCACATATTCAAGTTTAAATATTGTGATCATGTATTAAAGTCTGATAAATGCATATTATTTTATAAATGTGGTTACCTGAAACATCTTAAACCTATTACATAATGTCTTTGGGTATATTAAATGTTTTTAAAATGTTAAAATGCTAATAATTTACATAAAACAACATTTATTAAAGACATAAGATTTCATTAAGCTATAAAAGTGAATATTATATAAATTTTAAAAAGGATTTCCTTCTAAAACAGAATCTAAATAAACACTTATATAAATTTTATCTTGTTATAAAGGGAGTAACAAAATTTGAATGATTTCTTCAAAATATTCTTAATATCTAAAAATGTTTAATGTAAGACTTTTCTCATTTTTTCACTGAAAAAACTATTTGATATAATATATTTTAATTATGATTTCCTCTCCCCCAGCTCCTTCCAGATCCTACCAATTTTTATCTATGAAAACTAAAGTTCAAAGAAAAAAAAAAAAAGAAAGATGATTTCATCAACTAAAAACAAAAACAAAAACAAAACAAAATAAAACAGAACATCACCCAAAGACTCCATTCTGATTTAAGGCTCACGACTCTGTCCAGGCACTTCAACCTCACTCCCGGGAGGCAGAGGCTTTCTCACACCACCTGAGAGCACATTCGTGTGGACCTGGAAAATTCTGGATGACCTCATCTTTACCGCCACTGGAAATGGAGTATCTGAGAACTAAACATATTTATCTGTTCATTTTTCTTACATATTTTGTGAATAAGTTTAAAAAAATGATGATATCTAGCATTCTTCCTGGCATATTTCAAATGATAAAATCATACTAATATTGGCTTTAACATTTGGCTTTGTTTGACATTTCAAACAAAGACATGCGCTTTCAGTTCAGTGTGTCTTTTTGTTATGCTTATTTGCTTACCCTAAGCCCCACATTACTCAAAATTAATGTTTGAAAGACTCAAGTTTTATCGTTGTCTTTATATATGTGTATATGTGTGTGTGCGTATTCTTATTATCCTGTGTAATCTGGCTAAAGCAAAACAAAAGTTTCTAGTTTAAATTTCAATTCCATTTATCTAACTAAGAATACCCAAAGACTTGGGCTGATTCTCCTTAAGCAAATTATATAGAAGATACCTATCTCTAATACATCTCACAATACCATCCCTGATAGCTTGTACCTTTAGTGCTGATGTTTCTTTACCAGTTAGTATTCGAAATGCCCCAGGGTGTAATTAGCCACTATTAAAAAATTTAACATCTATCTTTTACAAATTTAAAAATGTGTGCAGGGGACAGTATTACAGTGCCTCTTCCTGGGCTCAGTCTAGCCCCTGGAACAGCCTTCTCTTGCCCATTTCTGTATCATAACTAATAACCCATGACTAATAGATAAAAGTCTTGTGGACCACTAGTTTCCATCAATCTAAGAGCTAAGGATGTCATCAGATAGCACGCTGAGCCTACAGAAAAGCTTCCCCATCTCACCGCACCTGCCTCTCTGATGTACTCACCAACGTATTTCAAGCTGGGTTTGATTTGTGACTTTGTTCTGTAAAACTATAAAGCTTAATAAAGCTGCTTCCACAATAGAACATGGAATTTGGGATAACCTTAATCTATGTTCCCGGGACCATGGCCACTCAAAATGGCTCCACAAACTGTGTCTTATTCCCTTAAAAAAAGAGCAGTAGAGAATTTCACATTGATGAGCTGAGGGCACAGTGAATAAGGCATTTATGTAGAGGTTTCAAGTGTACAGCTCAGAACTTAGGTGAAGGCTCGTGTCCTCCACCACTATCAGCCTTGATTAGACTGGGAAGCAGGTGATTCAATCAGCAATTCAGTAAGGCCTCAGGTTCCTATGCTTTGTTAGCTGAGCAGAATCTGGCAAAGTGACTGCCTCTGTGAAATCTGAGTAGTCTAACACAGACTGACACTCAAGAGCCAGGGCAAGCTCTGGACAGATGACAAAAGTCGTCATTTCAGTGGCTTGCATGATTTACCTATCTTTGTATTTGTAATTATCTTTATTTTAAAGTCTTCTGTTTTGTCCTGGGGACAAATTTATAACTACCCAGGAGCTAACGTCAATTTACCTGCCTGGCCTGAAAAGACCCCACAGTGGCCTCCAGCTCTCTAGCTGCCCTGCCTGAGGCTTTAACCTCTCAGGACTTCTAGTCAGCCAAGAGAGTTTACCTGTGCCCTATTCCCAAAGGAGAAGTTGGCACCAAGGGCCCAGCTGTGAAAGCCAATCCCTCACATCTCCACCACCTGCCACCGAGGCTGACATTTCCAATTCCTCCTTGCCTCTTTTGCCTTAAGCTCACGAGTGACAGAGCTATTGATAAAGTAAATCTAAAGTATCTCCACCATGGATTCCTGTGACTTTCATGTGCTGTTTTGTCTGTAGTAAAATGAGAGTGTGTACCCATTTAAAAGCCTAGAACACATGTCTGGCTGCAGTGAAATCTCAATCCTAGGCCCTGGGGAATGTCCCTCTACAGGTAACACGCTTGGGAAGGAAGGGTCCCAGCTGAGAAGGCTGTAAGCTGATACTGCCACTGCAATTAGCATCAATAGCATGGAGACTCCAGGGAGGAGATAAAGAATATTTGCTCCAATTTCTCCTTTACCCAAGCGTCAGCTTGTTTACAACAGGGCGACAGTCACCCTGAATTCTCTACAGAGGCACTAGGAGTATATAGTTCAGTATTAGAGTGTGTTCAGGGGGCAGACAGGTGGCCCTGGGTCTGAGTCTCAGCACAGACATATGCTGAGACTCTGTTGAGAACAGTTT